ACAAGACTAGTTCAAAGTCCCCAAAGCCAGTGAAGCCAGGTGCTTCCATCACACTGGGGACACTCATGATTTGCCACCTAAACTGAATTATTGAGTCTTACACTATCTAACCAATGTAAATTCCGGCTTCTCCAACTCAGAGTAAATTTAGTTGCTTCATTTCCTTTAGCTTTCCCTGCCTGGATCCCATGCTAAAATTAGCCTCAAGGTTGGAGGAACAGGCTGGAAAGTTCAGTACCAACCCAGAATGTTTTCCGTCATTTGACCAAACCTCGAATGCTGAACATTTCTAACATTCAAAGAGGGTTTGTTTAAGTTTTCCAGTTTTACCCTCCTGGTTTCAAATGGCACCAGAAGCTGAAGAGCCAAAATTCTGTAAGGAGAAACCCTTCCAAACAAGATTCCTGGCCCGGGGCAGACCTGAAAGGATCCAGATGCATTTGAATGAGGTAGCCGAACTCCTGAATGCCTGAGTAAGTGGGTCCTCCGGGCTCTGGTTTGGCCAATCCAAGTGAGGACAACGTAAGGGTGGGTCCCTCCTTTTGGAAAAAAGCACAGGATATGATATCTGCAAGGGTGATGGCTGCAGAGCAGAAGCAGGTCTCCCGCGGGGAGGACAGCCCATGAGGGACAACGGAGGCCACCTGCAGCGCTGCCCTGTGAACATGTGGTGTGCGTCAGGAAGACCTCACAGGATTGATGTGTTTCCAAAATGCAAACTAGTGCAAACTCAGCATTTGAGGCCCCTGGAGGGGGAAAAGTCTTCTGTTTATATCCATGTGGCCACTAGCTTGGTAGATGGAACGCACAGAAACCTCTCCACATTGTGTATCAAACCTCAACTTGTAAACTTGACCCAAACCCAGCACTTAAGAGGGGAGGTCTGAGTGACAATCTGAGAAAGCTCTATCTTGGAGGACACGAGCTGCCCTTCTTGTGGGTTTCTGCTGTCTAGAAACATCTAGGGTTCACGATATTGTGCCAAGGAAATAAGGTAGAAACATTAGACTTTTTGGAAAGCTCTAAGGAAAACACAGATCTCAAATACTGTAGAAAATGATCATCACATGTTGTTTACCAAATCCCTACCTGTGCTGGGCTTCCTCAAGGCCACCCTTTCCAAGTGCTGATGTGTGCAGGAATCACTTGGGGACAGTTCTCAGTACGCCTGGAACACAGCCCAAGATTCTGAGCCCTCACAAGTTCCCAGAGGATGTCAACGCTGCTGACCCACAGGCCACCCTTCAGGTAGTGAAGCAGCTTACTTTACACTCTTATATTGGAAACGATGGTCATTAAGCAGGTTTTCATGTCATTAGACAGCTTTGAGTAGATGAGTTGACCGGTTTCATTGATGGGTTTCAATACCCGTCTTTTTTTTTTTTTCCTTTCTTTTTTTTAAATTCTATCTCTCCACAGAGCCACACATCTTCCTCTAGGCAAAGTTAAGAAATACATCCTGCAAGTCCTGTCTGGCCATACAATAAAGTTTTATGGGGACTTAAATTTGAATTTTACTTTTACTAGGCACAGTGAGAGACTTGTGCCTAAGATAGCCATGCCCCATTGTGGATGCCATTGTGAGGGGCCAGGGAAGAAGTTCTGGAACAGCTGGGCCTGTGGAGCCCTCCAGGTATTTCAACCTGCTGGGTTTTCCAAGGGCAGGCTATATTCATTTCATGAAGCTCTGACATCCATGTCTTAGTTTCAAATGCATCGCCGAGGTGATCATCAGCATGGCACGGAAGTTTCTGGATAACACCTCTGTTGGAACACAAAGACTGAGAAAAGAATGAAAATGCATTCTACAGAGAGATAAGTTAGCAGCATTGTCTTTTTGGAAATTTAGACCACCTCCTTTTTTTGAGGTCCTTCTTTGCCTCTCCTTTCTGGTCAAAGAATCTGCCTTACAATTAACATGCTCAGAGACAGTGCACAGTATCACGGAATGCAAAAGCCTAAGAGAGAATGTTTTGATGGAGTTGGACTACCAAGGAAGTTTATACATTAATTACAGGGCTTTGCAACCGTGCATCTTTCCATATTTGGTGGTATTTTTATAGAAGCATTAAAAATGACACCTGAGCATATTTCCCTCCTAATCATGGCACGTAGAAGCAATAGCCAGTTTGAGCAAGGTTGAAAACTGCCATCCAATGACTTGGCAAAGCCACAGTCGGTCGTAGCCGCTTGGGTACAACTCCCAAGCCAGGAGCCCAGGGTCTGAGTCATTTGCAGGAAGTAGGTCACAGGGTGTAGGTCAGTGCACAAACTTAAAGAATCCTCAACAGTTCTAGCTAAGACAGGATTGACTATTCCTCTAGGCGGCTCACTGATAACATATGCGTCTTTTCATCTTGGGCTCCTAGGGAAGTGATAAGGTCAAGTTCACCAGTGGCCGGCTGAGGCTCTGCTTATTGTCATGACTTGGAGGATGCCAGAAAACTCCAACTGTTACCTCACCAAGCTGTAAGGTTTTGCTATGGCTGGTGTGTCTGATAACCTGGAGGAAGGCAGAGTAGCCCAGCATGCAGGCCTTCCACTCTGCCCCCTGGTGCCCCGTTGGAACTCTGGCCCTGACAATCATGAATGATGACAGCATAAGGTGAGGCTTTAGCAAACCCCAGCCTTACGGTCATCTCTCAATGTGACCTGTCCTACGAAGACTCTGCCAGGAAAGATATCTCTTCAGCTCTAGTGAGGCCGGCAGAGAGAAGCCAAGAATGCGGGCAGTCAGCTGACACCTCCAGAGCCTCCTTTCAAGCATCTGGACACCTAAGGTTGAAGGCATCTGGGGAGTTTCTAAAATGAAATATCAGGATTTATCTGTGTCGCCAGTTGAATTGCTAAGTCATTAATAAGTCTGAGCCAGCTCTGAGGTGGCAGCTGCATGTTACGGCATTCGGCTCGTAAGAGCCTTCCAGGGAGTTTACGTACAGAGGAGAGAAAAGAGCCTGACGTGGGGTCGGACCCAGACTTGAGTTCATCAGGGAGCACAGGGACATAGGCTTAATTATCTTCACGAGGGATTTGCACTGAGAAGCAATAGGAAATATCACTGTGTTTGGATAGGAATAAGTATCATAAAAGAAATACATACATTATTATTCATTCTTTCACTAACCTCACACCAGTCTAGGAGAAAGCAGCCTCTTGAGTTTCAATTCCTGCCTTAGTCAAAACAGGAGTAAGTAAAAATCATGTCTTTTCCTTTTAGAAGACCTGTGCCATTTGCCCTTGAGCACATTATTGCTGTGGGTCTGGGCGAAACCGAGTGGATGAGGGGGAAACCGAGGGCGCTTGTGACAGTACAGGCTCTAGAACATGTCTGCCAGTTCTGCCTGTGCAGCTGGGAATCCAGGGCTGGCATTTGAGACCCACCACCTCCGTTGCTCTGGACCGTGTACACGGAAATGCAGTGTGTACGTGGGGCTGTGGCGGATGTATGCAGAGGATGGCAAAGTTAGTAAAAAAATAAATGAGGGAAGGAGAGTTTTTCTTTGTCTTGGAACTGCACAAAGCACACTATCTTACTTGTTAGCACTTAAAGGCAATGAGCAGGAGAGAGAAATAAGTATGTGTGCCCACATGTAAAATCTCCCTGTTTTTAGCACCTCAGACGGGTGTGTCTTCTCCCAAAGGTGGGGGATGAGCTACAGGATATTCTTGGGTCAGTCGCATGAGAAGGGGCTTGCTCCGGGGAAGCATCCCTTCTGGTTCCTCTATCTGCTGTGAAGTCTTCTTAACTCACTCTTAGTGTAGGTATGGTAGAGCTAGACGGAGTACCTCCAGGTCAGAATTAGCCTCTCGATGCCTCTTGAAGTAGAGAGAGGCAAGGCACTGAACTTTCACAGGTGAAAACAAAAAATAAACAGGGGCAGGTTAGCCACTGGCTTTCGCTCAAAATACAGGATCTCTCTTTTCTTTGTTTGCCTTCAGACTCCTAATTTCAGTGTGTGCCTAAGACACAACTCTGATTTCATCTCTTTACTAAAAAGATGTTCATTTAGGAGGAATAAAACCCCATAATTTTGCTTTTATTACAGAAGTCTTTCCATCACAAAATTAAAATGCTTCCCCTTTTTCTCAGCTTTACCGTATCAGCAAGTTGCTAGACCCTTCGAGGGGTCAGAGTCTCCGCAAAGCATTTCCTTTTATTTTGTTTTTCCTTTTATAGTTTCACTTAGGCTGTTACAGTCTTTACTAAGGGCTGGATTCTCCCAAGCGGATGCCCAGCGTCTTAAGGGATGGGATCCACATCCTGTCTGAGCAGAAGCATGATGCCAGGGTTGAATTACTATTGAATAAGCAGCAATGAAATTGTTATCAAAATAATCAGTAGTTCCAAAAACCACAAATAACAACAACAGGACCCAAGTTGTCCTCCATCAGCAAAGACCATCGATATAATAAGAGACTGAGTCACTTTTCTCTACGATCCCTCTCTTGCAAACTCTCCTCGGCTATTTTCTTGCACAGCCTGAGGGAAAGCAGGTGGGGGGAAGGAAGGGCATTGCTCAGAAAGTAAAAAAAAAAAAAAAAATTTGACATCACTTAAGTCACATGATTGGCAAGAACCAATTAAGATGGGCTGTGGAAAGGGGAACAGTTAAATTTGTAATTTGGGTTGTGTGAAAACTTCTTTGGGCCTCATAAACAACCACAGAACCACAAGTTGGGTAGGCCGGCAGTGTCAGAAGACTGCGCCCGGCGTAGTGGTCAGCAGGCAGGACGAATCACACTGACTGCAAACCACAGGGTTTCGCAGAGCATCACCAACCCACAGCCAAGACGCCGCTTTCTTTCTTTTTTTTTTTTTTAAATCTTGAACAATTTGAATATTTGTTTTCACAAAGGTACATTTTTCAGAGGGCTCAGGGAGCCCCAGAGGTACGGGGGGGTGGGGAACAGAGATGCAGGGAGCCATGCTGGGGCGTGAGGTGACAACAGTGACCTTTCTTGGTTTTCACTCCAAAGGTGAAAGAAATCATTGAATCCCCCGCCTTCAGAAGAGGGTGCATTTTCAGGAGGAAGCGATGGCTTCAGACAGCATATTTGAGTCATTTCCTTCATACCCACAGTGCTTCATGAGAGGTGAGTACGCTCTGGTCTTTTGATTCCTACTTTTGCTCAGTTTGGCAGATAACGAAATGGCAGCGCTATTGTAACCCGGTGCACGTAGCTCGGGCCGATTCCCCGTCTGTTTTGTGGAAAGAATTCAAACTCGGGCGTATGATTACAAGGCTATTGGATTACTTATTCATCAGATGGCAGCTCTTCAGAAATGTTTTAATAAATACTTAGCTAAGCTGTTGAAGTGTTCGGTTGGTGTGTGAGAACTTTGTCAAGCGCAAGTAAGTTGGGCTGCTCCTGATTAAGGTCAGAGAGATTAGAAAACTGGTGAGAAGCTCCCAGGGTTTTCTTTTCTGCCCCTTTGCCTGTGCGGACTGTGGCCGAGGATCCTGAGCTCAGCACGTCCCGGGACCCACGGGGCAGCCGGCCCTGGGGTTTAGCATGGGCCGGAGGCGGAGGCCGGGCTCCCAGACACACGTTAGACCGGCCTGGGGACTTTAGGGGCAAAGTGGCAGGCAGCTCAGTTGTCCTTTAAAGGCAGAGAGTACAGGAGTCAGGCGGATTTGACTGGGTAAAAAATACCCAGGATGGGGCCTCGCTGTGCACTGAGGCAGCCAGCGTCTTTCAAGGTGGGAAAAAAAAAATGCAAGTTGTCGTGTACAGAGGTCTCTCTTGCAAAGAGCAATGAAGAAGTTTCCTAAGCCCAGTGTTGTCACAGCTCTGGGTCTTCAGATCCCACACTTCCATTTCGTAGGAACAGCCAATGTGGAAAACCTGTCTGCAGTTTTGCAATCGGCCTCTTGAAAAATGTGCAAAGCTGTAGCTGGAGTTGCAGCTAGGAGGGTGTGAGTATGTGTGTGCATGTGCCTTTTGTGTATCTCTGGTGGGAAAAGAGGGCTGTGCTTAAACAAACAAAAATAATAACATAAGAATGTCACGAAGGCATGGCCGTGTGTCGGGGCACGCACTCTGACCAACGCCTGCGAAATGTGGCTTGATGGTTTGGCAGAGCCAGCGTGGAGTGGGACGGGACGGGGGAATAATTAATTTTCTGGCTACAGACACTCACGCGCACCCAAATAGTATCTGTGACTCATTATTTATGCACACAACCAAATGAGCAAGGGAATGCACAGGGCTGCCAGCCACTTTGTCACAACAAATGCTCTTGTGAATGCCGCGGAGCCTCTGTGCTTCCGGGTCCCTGAAATTTAAAAACTTGACAAAGCTCTGTGTGTGTGTGTGTGTGTGTGTGTGTGTGTGTGTTCGCGCGCTGGTGTGTATGGGGGTAGGATTTCAGGAGAAGGGAAGAAAGCAAGTCATTAACTGATTCAAAGCTTCAAATTAGAGGGTTTGCAAGTACTTCTTTCCTGGCAGCTGAGGACATTTTAGTGAAGTTGAATCATGCGATGGGCGTGAGTCACTGTCCTCGCAGCAGCGCCCGGGGTCCCGTGGCAGAGAGGCCGGCCGCTGGTGAGAAGCTGTGAACCGCTCCCGGCTGCATTTCCTCTAGGCCACGAACAAGCAAAGGAAGCAATAGTTGCAGAATAACAGGCAGAAAGATCTTCCTGCCTTTGCTCGGCTTTCAATATTCTTCTCCAAGCCATTATTGTTTCCCAGCTGATCCGCTCAGGAAGGCGGGTTCAGGAAACTGGGAAACAGTCCACTGGGCAATAGATTGGATGGTGTGTGTGTCGTGCGGGGCTGCCTTTGAAGTGGTCCTTACAGGCCAGACAGTGGAACGGTGGAAGGACTTGGGGACCTATTCAACTGCCAGGAACCAGAACAGGGGTAGGCCCTGGACACAGAGCCACAGGGCCTGGGCTCACAGAGGTCACCGGGCCACCCCAGGTTAGGAACTAGGGGCATGCTGCTTTCAGGGAAGTGTTGTAGAGATAGCCCTGACACCCAAATCAAGTCTCAGAAGGCCTAATGAAAAAAGGCCTTGTTCACACCTTGGTCTCTGGAAAAGGAACTCAGGGGATTTATAATCTCTACCTTAATCATATCATATGGAGATTTCATTTCAAGTGAAATCTTGGCAATTTCCCAGTTGATTTTATCATGGTGGCCCTCCAAGGTGAGGGCTGACACGGTCCGCATTAGCCATCCACACTCCCCAGTGTCAGAGAGGTGGCAAAATGTCATTGCCTTTGGTGCCATCTGGGCTCTGCCTGAGAGCGTGCCGCTAGGAGTGTTGTGTCTGTTCCCCTCTAACAATGGTTTCCTCTCAGGGTTCTAACTCTGTTCCCGTAGACCGGCCATTAGCCACGTTCAGCCCCATGGTCACTTCTTGCTTTGCATAATTTATGGTGAGAGTTCCCTCCCCCGCTGCAGCAAGGACCTACAGGGGGAAATGGCGTCTTGTTTTCTTCCTGGGATGTACTTTATCAGTCCGTGCAATCCTCACAGAAGGAAGCCCATAACTCATTTTGGGCAAAGTACACATGTGAAACGTAGTGGAGAGAGCGAGCTGTGGGACCAAGGATGGCCGGGTTCCCTTGTTGATGAGAGGCAAGCAAGGGTCTGAAAGAGGGCATGCAAAGTGACTGTGGTCTACCGCAGAGAGCACCATGCTCTTCCCACCCCACCGGGCCAAGCGCTCACTTCATTTGCCTTGGGGACGAGGGAAGACGTGATTAAAATTGCCTGGCATGAACACGCGTGGTCGGCAATGTACAGCCTTGCAGAACCCCAAAGCGCGTTCTCTCGTGTGGTGCAGGTTGCCAGCCCAAAGCGCGGCGGTAACTGTGGAAAGGAAAAGCGGTGGCACAGATGTACTTTTGCAAAATCCTCAGGTAGCCTCGTTCTTAGAAGTGGCTTAGTGGTCTATGCAAAGCCTGACTGCTAATATGCCTCTGAGTTCCTAGAACCACAGGTAGAAATCTCAGCGAGGCTGACTCACTACTGTCTTCTTGGAGGCGGCTTTCAAAGGGAATGGCAGAATACGAGCCTGATGTATGAGGTGCGCACCTCTGGACTCTCAAGGGTCCAGATCGCAGAGAGCCGTAGATGAAACTGCACATGCGTAGTTGGCAATGTGTGAAATCGGTGTGGTTTTTCTAGGGCTACTGTGACAAAGTACCCCAGACCGGGTGACTTAAACATCAGGATGCCTGACCTTCCAATGCTGGAGGCCAGAAGTCTCATGGAGAATCCTGGTGGAGCTTCAAGGTGTGAGGAGGACTGGTTTCTTCTGAGCCTCTCTCCTTGGCTTGTGGATGGTGGGCTTCTCTGTGGTCTCCCTCTGCACGTGTCTGTGTCCCGGTGTCCCCTTCTTATAAGGACACCAGACGTATGGCATGAGGACCTACCCTAATGATCTCACTTAACAGTCATCACCTCTGTAAAAAAGGAAAAAAAAAAACATCTCCAACTACAGTCACATTCTGAGGTGCTAGGAGTTAGGACTTCAACACAGGAATTTTGGAGGGGACACGGTTCAGCCCAAGACGTGCATCTTAGCAGATCTTACTCCCTCTGGCCCATAAGAAAACTCTGCCTTTCTTTGGGGGCTCTCCTGGATGCTGAAGAATCAGACCCCAGGTCCCTCGGTACAAAATAGAGCCTCGCATCTTGAAACTGCCCACACATTTTGAAACTGAGAAAAAAAAAAAAGGCGCTAAAAACCCATCTAAACTCATAATCCTACCCTTCGCCATGTTGTTGCTTTGCATGCTAACAAACCTTTGAAGATGACAAAGAAATTCTGAAGTGTTTAAGCTTTAAAAGAGCAGAGAGTCATTCCCAAAAGAACCCACACCTTGGTTCTACTCCCTCCAGCGGGACTGTATCTGTATTTCAGATTCTTCCAAGACACGTGCCAGCAGTGGGGGTGGGGAGTGGCAGGCCACCAGAGGCCCCACACCTGCTCACATACCAAGGGCAGGCCCCTGAGTGACCAGTAGCAGAAACCTGAGCAGAAAGGGCTGCTGATCCAGGGGCTAAGCAGCAAGAAGCCTTGAGAGCTTTTAGAAAGAAACTAGCAGCTGGGAGATTCTGTTGTTCCCTTGAAATAAACCTGAAATGTATGCTCAGAAAAGACCTGCCCCTTTACTGCGAAAGCAAGGTTGGGTCTGATGTTGGGTCTGGGCAGAGGAAGGTTCCAAGGCTGCCTCACACAGAGATTTTATTAGAGCAACCAGGGCTTGGCTGGGTGTCGATGTAGAGGAGAGAAACTGGGCGGGGGGGGGCGGTATGGGAACAAATAGTACTGGAGGAAGGAGGAAGCCAGGAGAAGGGGGTGAATGTGGGGTATGCACAGATTGCCCAGTGATGATGGACTTCTCTTTTCCATTTTTCCGACTTTAGCCAGGCAGCTTCTCTAGTGAGCCTCGGTTTCCTAGTCTATAAAATGTGGACAGCGGTACCTCTTGTGACAGTCATTGTGTGGCCTGAATCAAGTCACCTGGGTCAAGTGCTCAGCACAATCACAGGAACGGTCCAGAAATATTAATTGGCTATCCACGTTCGGTTATCTCAGAAGACACTTTGGGAAAGGAGAGGTCCCAGGGTCCTAGAGGAGGCTCTGTGGAGAAGGTGATGCAGGAGTTAGAGAAGAGGTGGAGGGTGGGAACCCAGAGGTAAAGAAGAGTGGTCTAGGTGGGGGCTACAGCCATAGATCCTGGGCAAAGGTCAAATGGCAGGAACCCCAGTGGGCTGTGGGAAGTCGTTGTAAGTAAGTTGTAAGCAAGTCGTCCTGATGGCCTTTTATCCCCCCCCCCATCGGCTTGTCACCCTTGCTTGACTTAGAAGTACCCACAAAGAGAACCAAAGAAGAGCCTGGGCCCTTTATACAATTCGACTGAACAAGTGTAGCTTTGAAGTATTGAGGCCAATCGGGCCATGTTGCAACATCAATTTTGACACATTTCTCCTCTGAGTGTACTGGTGCAGCTTTCTTTTCCTCAAGTCCTTCTTAGTGAAAAAGCCCTTTCTCCCTTGAACTCCATGCAAGTCATCCAGACCTCTGAGAGGCTGCCTATTTCCGTGCTTCTCACGACATTTCTGATCATATATTT